GTTGCAAACTTTGGCAAGCAAAGCGGACAGTGTGAGACGGTCACAGTTGTATATACAAAGCCTTCACATTTCTCCTCACGAGAAAACATTCTTGCCTCAGCTGCTGTAGTCTAGCTTTCGTGCGCGCTGCTCTCAAGTGTTAGGTGCCGTAATGCAGTCTATAGCCAAAAGGGGTCCGTAATTTTGGGAACAAGGCATTGTGGATGGGTCAGAACGTCTGAAGTTCCGGAGGAGATCAAGGTGAGGAGCGACGCCTACTTGATTCGGTGCTCCAGCTTCCAGTCCAGGGCTGCGAAGATGGGAAGGGGCCCCCGTTTAGTGTTTAGTAACGTGTGGGTTCATGTAAAGTTTACGTAGAGTGATCACGTAGGCGATTGGCAGGGAGTTGTCAAGGTGAAGTCTGAAGTCGAGCATGCACGCCTAAATGTATGGGACTTTGAATTTCTCCTCGCTGCTTGCTTGTCTTGCACAACCTACAGACGCATGTCATTCTACCAGACCCTTTGTCCCTTCAACATGTAAATCTTAAGGGCTTGCCGATCCCCATGAAATACAGACCCAACCCCTCTCACATCAATTAGTCCCCCAACATCTTTGGGCTCTTTAAGGGCAATGCTGAAATGCTGGGCTCAAGCACTGCGAGTGTTCGGGCTTAGAGCGCACCACGCCTTCCGCTTCACCCGGGCGGGGGGCTCAGTTTCAAGTTCGCCCAGGCTGTGAGCTTACTAAGATTTGATAGCATCTTGAAACTAGGGTTATCACCCATGGCATGCCAAGAAGCGGGACCCACAGCTTTGAAGTTTCAGAAATCTCCATGTGAGGTGTCAAGACCCTGGACTTCGGGCAATAGACTGTTCATGCAGCTCGCCCAGTGTACCTTCCATTTTCCATTTGAATACGTGTTGTACCGTGGCCAGTTTGGGTCCTGGAACCTCAACCCTGTATGTCCTAATTTAGCCCTAAACCCTCAACCTAAACTCCTAAATAGCAGTTTCCATGTTCTTTTCCATTATCCCTATCTTTTCCCTATATATTCCCTTATGACGATTCCATTTTTTTTCAGGACCAAGGATGGGCGGACAGATCTGCAGGCCTTTGCATTGCATGAGATGTGGGTTTCCATAAGCTAGGGGTGCGTTTTGGGGGTACCTAGAATATGGTATTTGGGGATTTCTATTGTGGCCCCCCATTTATGATAATGGATGTCATAGGTTTGCACTTTTGCGTGGTGTACTACAGGAGTTTTTATCAGCTCTTTGAGTCTATGTGGGATAGAAACAGAAAGGAGACCTCAGGGAGCAGATGTTGGAGTTTGGGTCCCTTTTCGTTAGTGAGACCAGAAAGTCATCGCTTTGCGACGACGTCATCAACATCTTCATCGAGATAGCGATGGGAGCTTCTGTTTGGTGATCAGTTGCCTTGTTTGATTGTGTCTATGCTGTTTCTGCGAGTTGAGAAAATCTTTGATCAAGAGCAGGAGTGCTTCATCCACGCCGCATTGAGTCTCAAAAACCAACAGATCCAGATGGTACAATCACGCTCAATGTGCTGCAGCCACCAGGCAACTGCATCCCACTGGTCATTCAGCGGAAGGACATTATCTCAGAAGTCAGAAAGACAGTCAAGCTGGTCATACCTGTGGAGAGCGATCATATTGTGGAGTTGATCAAAGGCGTGATGCATCTCCAAAACGCTGGTTTAGAGTGTGCCCTCAACGGGGGTGATTCGCTCACCGTCGTTGCCGCAAACGCAACAGACGTGACACAACATGGAATGATTTCAGAATTGATGAGGATCAATGCGTTAAACCTGGAGCTAGACTCCCAACACCACTGAGTTACTGGGCTTCCGATGTTGGCTCTGGTGATGAAAGCATGGAAGTAAAAACGGAACAAATTTATGTAGAACATGATGGTTAAGGCCATGTATGATTTCAATAAGGCCTTGCTCAATCGACATAATTCTTATACACCGCAACTACTGTACAATTTCTTAAGGAATGTCATGCCATCCGACCGGTGTGAGAAATAAACAATTTTCGCAAGTTATTCCACCAACAAAGCCAACCCCTGCAATAGGCGTAAGGAAACCCTACATCCACGCCTTCTTCCAAATTACCAAAAACCCCGTGTTCCGAGAATTTGAGATATGGAAGCAGTCTAATTTTGAAACCCATGATTATAGCATGCTGAAATCTAGAGAGAAGGCGTTGATTTTCAATAAGACCCATTGTTTGGTATGTCGTAAGTTTCTCAGGCATTACGCCTGCAAATGCGCAATCTTGTACTACCAAGAAACTCCTAGAGTATATAAGGTGAATTACACGAAGCTGATTAAACAGTTATGGGCAACCAAAATATCGGACAACTACCCTCAAGACATTAACATCTCACAAAACTCATAGCCCGTTTATTTTCCGGATTGTTAGAGAAGGGCACGCACAAGTCTTCTTTGTGCTTTGCCTTTGACAGCCTTAGACAAGCACTGTACTATCAACAAGAAGTCGGACGTTAAATTTACAAAATCACCGGATGCAACGAAAACGACAACGAATTGACAAACGGATTGCATTGCTAAACGTTGTCCGACCTTTTGGCCTTTAGAAACCAGCACAATTATTTTAAGGAGTTCCTGCTTCAAACCCACAATCATAAGATGCAAGACGATTAAACCAAACTACTCAACAACGGTGTTGATGTAAACAGTGTTAAAACCGATGCCTAGATAATCAGACAAGCACACATAAGCAAGGTAAAGAAAGTACTACCATTTAATAGTAACATCGGAGGATGGAGATATGATAAGTGTAAACTGATGACCGAACAACACCGACAAGAAGCAATACATTGACGCGAAGCATTAGAAATAGAAACCGACATATCGCAAAACAAATAAGCCACAACAACGCGTTGATTGTCAGAAGTAAATCTGCAGGAGTGGGTAAATCGCATATTTTGAAACATTTAAGCAAATCAGGTTGTAAACCGTTGCCTGTAGATTTTATGCACCCATATACATTCCTATATGTCCTGGCATATGCATATCCCTGTATATCCCTGTATATCCCTGTATATCCCTTTATGTCCCTGTATATCCCTGTATATCCAGTTATATCCCTATATGTACTGAAGCCGTCGCAGGCAGCTCTGCAGTCGACAGAGCGAGACGGGCGATGCGGTTGACCAGCTGAAGGCTTGGGTAATTCTTGTGATATATGGGGATTTCCCAAAATTAGGGGTACCTTTTTAGGGGTCCCGATAATACGGATAAGAGTATTTTGGGGCCTATATTGGGGTCACATGTACAGGGCTTACATGAATGGAAGCTGTGTGTGTTTATTCCGAAATCTGGGTTTCTTGTCTTCCATACGAAGGGTTTGTACCTTCAACTTGGAAAGCAATGTATTCCACTTTCCATGCATTTGGAAGGTACGAATTCGCCCCCGTTTGCGCCCGCACTCCATATGACGATGTCCAGTATGCAGCCGGCCGTGGCAAAACATCCTAAACCAGACCTTTCCGCGTGGTTTTATGGAGCTGCTGTTTGCAGGTTGTGGCTCTGTCGCCGGCTCCCGAGGTCCTTGGCGCCTTAGCGAAAACCACCAGGGACGTCTCAGGGTAGTGCTAGGAATGACATTGTTTTTGATAGGAGCTCGGAAGTAGCAGAGGGATTGTAAGCCTCGAGTCTACAATTTTTCTTCCAGTGTGTGAACATTTTTTGCATTCAGAAAATAGAAACAAGCAGTGTTCTAAGATTAACCGTTATGCTGGCGAAGCATGACGAGAACGACAAGAAGAACAATGAACATGATCGCAATGAAGAATAGCAGCCAGAATGGTTAGCAGTGATGCAAATACAATCATCACGACGGCTATGTTAAGTTTAAGAGCCATGGTGATTTTGGGAGACTTCAGGACAGCCAGAATGACCACGCCAGCAACGATGGAACCAACAGAACCGGAATACCAGTCATACCCGGAAGGATCATGGTCATGCGAGTCTGGAAGCAATCCTTCTGTAATCCTGCAGGAGGACGGACCCCTACTGGCAATTTTCCGAGAATTATGAAGGCTGCTCATCCCCAAAAATGCATTTGGAAGTTTGCCACATTGTTCCTGAACTCGAGGGAGACCGATATAACACTCCGCACTATGCTAGGAGCCCAAATAGAGTATCAAGCGGTACATTCTGCGAAGTCCAGCAAAGAAACTTTATTCCCTAAGCCTTATAAACGCCATTCACGCACGGAAATCCACATGTTCTATAGTCTAAACTCCTTAAAGGGGTTATATATGGGGTTATATAGGGGACTACCATAGGGGTTATGAAGGGGGATACTAGGAGTTTAGACTTTGGCCCCCTATAATCCCCTACATAACCTTATATATAGCAGTTTCCATTTCATTTTCCATTTTCTTTTCCATTTGATTCTCCATTATTAAAGGGGGGATACTAGGAGTTTAGACTTTGGCTCACATGTTGTGGCTGCCAAGGCAGGCAGTGAAGTAGTTCTCAAGAGGCAGCCTTTTTGCCTTGGCTGCCGCCCTCCTTCTGGTACTGCACTCCGTAGTGTGCATGGCCATTTTGGTAGCAATGGTGATGAGGCCAGCCTTTTAAAGCTCAAGAGTGCTGGCTACTGGCATGAACAAGGGTCGTTTTTGCGGTATCATTTCATACGCCCAGACTGAAAGCCAGCTAGACTCCACAGTTGTTAAGCCTTGAGTCTTGCCCCTGAGCCAGCCTACATCACTAAACCCTCGTTCTCAACGCCTACCTGAGCAAAGTGCAAAGCTGAGGGCCCGAGCAGCAGAAGCAGCTCTTCGCCCGAGCGAAGGCCTTTAATTTCTTTTGTCTTGCCGTTCTGCTCGTCATCTTTCCCATGCGTCTCATTGCTGTCGTGTTGTAGGTTTGCTACTTTCATTGCGAACACTATGGTCGTTGGTACCGTTTTCCCGTTTTTGCTATCATTGGCCCAAGATGGTGTACTCAGGCTTATACGTTGCTCCGAATTGCTCCGAAGGTTGTTGCAGAAAAGGTCGAGTGCGCGCCGCCGCACGAGAAGGTCGACCGGATTTAGCGCTTCGGTTGTGGGGCATGATGTCTGTGCGCAGTCTGAACTCAATCTGCATCAATAGCGACCTGAGTATCATGCTGTTGCTAAAGAGCAACGTGAACAAATGAATATCTGCGTGATGTACGTGTTTTGATATGTGTGGCAGCTTGGGGTTTGGTACAGTCAGGAAGCGAGTCCGGGTAGTCAATGAATACCGAACGCAAAATGCATGATATGTTGTGAAGTTTCTATCGGTGACTGCTTGTACAGCAAGCACAAAGCTTTAGGAAGGCTCAACCCACTTTTGGCTGGCTACTGCTGCCATCCAGCTATGTGTGACCGTCTTGCCTCAAGAGGTGGCTAAGGAATGGTTTAATGACTTCTTCATCACAGTCCCTCAAGAGCATTTAAGAGCTTGCAATGCTTGAAGGCCGCAGCATGGAAAGAGTGCAACCAGACCTGGGACCAAGTGATGGAGGCCCAGCCTTGCACAACTGGCTTAGCCTAGCCTAAAGGGTTGGCTGCTGCAATGCAAACCCCGCTTGGGAGGCCGCAAAAACAGCCAAGGATGCTGCCAGACATGAGTACAAGGACCTGGATGCTTGCTATCACGTTCTGGCAGCAGCCAAGTCTACTCCTAGAAAGGCTCCCGCTTCTGCTCGTACAGACTCATTGCAAAGTCATTCCTGCCACCGCAGCTACGGCCACATTATGACCTAGGCAGCAATTTGAATCACAGCATTTTGAATTCACTCAATTTTCCTCCATTGTGGCAGATTGCGTTCTCTACTTCGATGACGTTATTATTATTGCTGCTGCTGCTGCCGCTGCTATGGCTGCTGCTGATTACTACTACTGCTGCCGGTAGCACCACCACGACGACGAGGACGACGAGGACCACGAGGACGACAAGGACGACGAGGACGACGAGGACGACGACGAGGACGACGAGGACGACGAGGACGACGAGGACGACGAGGACGACGAGGACGACGAGGATGACGACGACGACGACGAGGACGACGACGACGACGACGACGACGACGACGCCGGCGACGACGACGACGACGACGACGA